TTCTTCCAGGGCCCATTGACTTCCCTGTCACCTGTGTCCTTGCTGTTATCGCAGATTTTGGATACCAGATTTCACTTGGAATTGCTGCAGGGTGTAAGGATTGGAGGTGTGCAGCCTTTCAGGCTGGATTGAGGCATGTTCCATTGATTCCACATCCCTGATCCAAGCTATTGGTTTATAAATGTGCCCATTATAAATGAGCTGGTATGACATAATAGTTGGTGTGCTGGACTGGGACTCAGGATATCTAGGTTCCAATCTTCAGCCAGCCACCCAGGAATGTCGCTGGATAACTTTGGCTCAGTCACCAACTCTTAACCTAGCCAACTTCACAGGGTTGTTGTATGGGTAAAATGGACAGGTGGACCAATATGTAAGCAGCATCAGATTCTTTGCAGGAAAGGTGAGATATATAGAATGCGCTCCCCAGAGAGGTCCGCCTGGCGCCGTCGTTATTTGTTTTTCGGCGCCAGACTAGACCTTTTTATTTAAAACTTATTTTAATTGTTAAATTTGTATTTATAGAATTTTAAATTTTTAGCCGAGATGCACCAGAGGTTTTTAAATAATTTTTTTATTGTTATATTGTTATTTATGTATTTTGTTTCTGTTGTGAGCCTCCCCGAGGTTTCGTTACGATGGGGGCGGCATAAAAATGTTTTAAATAAATAAATAAATGAATATAAATGAATTTAAGGCGACCATTGTTAGTCTTTAATTAAGGTGGCAACAGGCTTTTTCCAAACCGTCCCTTCCTTTCTTGACATGCAAAGAACTGACCCAAAAGACCAGAAATTTCCAAATGAGTTTACTAAAAGATGCTTTGCTGATCTATAGCTGCAGTTTCTTTTCCTCAGCTCAGAGGGATGTTCCACTTTCTCAAGAATGGAGATGTGACAAAGGAAATTAACCATTAAAAAACCTTAAAAACTGATGACCTTAGGACCACAGAGACTTTCCGATACTTCTAGTCCCACAAAAGAAAGAAAGTCCTTGGAAATCAAATGTTTTCACATTGCTTGACAGGATTACTGCACAGATACAAGCACATGTCTGTAAAAGATTATAAGCAGAAGACCTGTACCCCAGTGTTCAGGTTATGTGCTGAATGCATATTTGTAAAGACGTCTACAGCAACCTCCACAGACATGAGCCAACACTTCACAGCCTTCCACTCCAAACTCACAGGCTCCTCCTTCTAGCATTAAGGACAAGCATTGCTAAGTTTGTCTAAATAGGATCCCTGTGTGCTAGTCTTCTCCTGCATTCTGGGGTGATAGATGAAACAACAGTACTTCCATACTAGCCTTCCATTCTCTCTGAGTTTCTTCACTCATTTATTCCTGAGATTCCAGAAACATGCAAGCAGCTTCTCTAACTTCTTTTTCTTGGGACAGCATGTAGAAAAATTTTTGGAGCTTCTGTAACAACTGTACTGAGAGCCAGCTTACCTTTACTGTCTCACCTCTTTTGGCGATGGGGCTACTTGGCTGCCCTTCCATCACTTTGTGCTCTGCTCAGCAGATCTTGAAGGTGAAATGGTAGGGGTGATTCCCCTGACACTCATTCTAAGAGGTCAGAATGCCTCTGATAAGGCTATGTTACTGTCAGTAAAAGCTTTTCTCTAGAAGAGTTTTCCATACTTTTGGCCTCAATCCTTCTGTCCCTAGCCCCATTGGAATGCAGCTTCTTTGATACGGAATTTGGTCTGCAGGCTAAAAAGAGGTTCGACACTTCTAGTAGCCAGTTCCTAGGCAAAATGAGGTGACATTGACTGGGATTATGAGGAGGAAGGGGTGGAGGAAATCCTGCCACTGCCATTGTATTTAAAACTAGCATAAATAATAGAATCATAGAATAGTAGAGTGAGAAGATGCCAGAAGGCCATCGGGTTCAAGCCCCTACTGGTACAGAACACCACTTTACACCATCCCACTCAGACGGCTGGTCCAGTTTCTTTTTGAATGTTCCTAGTGTTGGATAGCCCACAACCTCTCTACTGGTTCCACGGTCATATTGCTCTGACAGTGAGGAAATTCTTCTTGGTATCTAGTCTACATTTGGTTAGCTCCTGCAGCTGAGCTCACTCTAGTGCCAACGCCTGCAGGTTGCCTTTGGCTCAAAAGAAAAGTGAAATTGACACAGGTTTCTTCACTCTTGGCAAGCAAACTCACTCCAGTTTCAGGATCAAGATGAAATTGACAAAGGGCTACCAGTTTGTTCTTCTTTTTAGCTTTCCTTCTAGATGACCCAACAAAAAGATTAATCTTGCAATGGCAGTTTCCCTAGGAACTGTAGTGGGTGGGGATTCTAGTTAAAAGGAGAGTGACCCTTCCTAGTTCCAGAATAGGAGCAGCCATGCTGGAGAGGTGGAAACTCTTTATCAAGGGTGCCTGTAAATGCTGGACCGCAACTAGTGGTTAATGGTCAAGGATGATGGACCCTGAAGTCCAACAATACCTGGAGGACCACAAATTGCCCTCCCCTGGTTGGTCAACATTCTCCCAGAAATAGCTGCAGGCAGGCACCATACTTGCAAGGAGATGGGTAGACCAAGTTTCCATTGGAGCAATGCTTTGGGGCTATGCCCTGTGGGGCCTTGTACTGTACAATTAGCAAGGAATCAATCCAGGGCTTCTATAGCATTATTAGCATGAAGACGTTGCTGCTGATGGCATCCAAAGAGTGAGGAGGCACCTTCTCCAGGTTTGCTCCCAAACTCCCAGACCTTAGGTCCTCATCATGTATAGCATTCACCAAAAAGAATAAATTACTCTCATTCCCCAGGGATAAGTGCCAATTGCTGCAAAATTATGCTAGGCTACCTAATGGAGTCTATTTTTTCTCCAGCAAATGACTTTTAGCCCTGAGATTAAATGTGTTCACATGTTGCTAGATAACATAAATTTATTCCATAGTATACATATGCATATGCAAGGAGCAATCTCTAATCTCTTCCACATGTTCCCTGTAACATGCATTCATTCTTAAATGTGAGTTTCTCCTGTGTTCAATTTTGGTGAACATAATTCAAAATACATTACTTCTACATATTGGTGGATCACATTTGTATCCTGCAGGGCCTCCAAGAAACCCAAGATTGTGTTCTGTAATAATCTTTTTTTAAAAATCCTGACAAAAATCCTGTGAGGTAGTCTTGGCTTACCTACTAGGTTTTGTGGCTGAACCAGGATGTGACACTGGGTTTCCCACACTATAACCACACTGATTACAAGTGCATTGTATGACGAACTCCCTTGAGGCAGGTTTACCAGTTGCTTACTCTACAGCAAACACAACACGGAAACAATATAGGATCACACAAATGCCGGCATATTCGAGTCAATTTGTCCAGTGTTTTGGAGAATACCTCCCTTCCTCATGAGCTCCCTACACTACATAAAACTCCTTGCCACTGTTCACTGTTTTATGCAGGGAGCTCTTTGGAGAAAAGATACTCTCCAAAAAGTTGAGAAAGCTGACTAAATGAAACTAGCACCTGTGTAGTCCTTTATCACTTTTCTTGTTCATTTGGCTTACTCTCTGGAAACTTACTGGTCTGTGTGCACAAGCTCTCAGTTGCCTGCTCAGTTCCATCTGCCTATTTCAGTATCAGCCTGAGCAAACATAGGGAGACTGAGGCAAGAGCCCCAGCTAAGTTCAACTGGCCGTTTTGTTCTTTTCAGTGTATGTCCCCCAAAGCTTCACTTCCCTTTAACAGTTACTGCGTAGGCACTGTTCTGATTTTGCAAACACTGGAGCTTTGCATCAAGTGTCAGCAAATACGGCACAGTGTGCAAATTCACTGAATTCCCAAGTCAAAAGGAACTGGCAGGTCATGCAGTGTTAGTGTTTGCCAGTATAGCTCCAGAAACGCACTGGAGATTGTGGCCAGAGCACGGAGGGGGAGCCAGCAGTGTGTGCACACCGAAACAGCTCCAAACTTAAAAAAACAGAACAAATGTGATTTTTAAAATCTTGCTTGGAAGTAATGTTTTCTGCTCTAGACACAATTATTTCTAATGCTATGCATACAAGAGAAGGAAAATATACTTTACACTTCTTCAGAGGCACTCTTTCTACCCATTCATTTTCAAGTGAACACATCAGAAGCAGCTTTTACTGAGTCAAACTACTGGTCCATCTAGCCCAGGACTGACAACAGGGACTGGCTGTGGTATTCTCCAGGGTTTCCCACAGCAGTCTTTCCCAGCCTTTCCAGGAGAGGTTGAGGACTCAACCTGAGACCACCTGCTGGTGTTCTTCCATGGAACTGCCATGATCCCAGCTCTGTCCTGATTACAACAGGACAAGAAAAAAAAAACCACCATTCCATACATAGTTTTGCAAACTCATTGCTAAAAGTGCCTGGAGTAGTTTGTATCCCCCTCCCATGATTTGGATCACAAGACACCTTTCAGGGACCTGTGCTGGGGAGGAAAGGACCGCCTCCTGAAGGGAACCAAGGGCACCGATGGGGACGGCACTAGGCCTCCAGCCCCAAATCATTCATCCGGAGTCTTGAAACTCTGGGAGGACACCTGCCCACGCCACTGCCCTCCTTGGGCACTTGCTGACAACAAGCTCCGCTGCCCTGACCACCTCCGCTGCATCCGATCCCACGGGATGAGCGGGCTTTCTGCTCACAGCTGCCTCACCTCCTGCTGCCCCCCATCTTCCTGCTTGGGTTTGTCCCCCGAGCTCAAACGCTCGTTTCCCCTGTCCACACATTACAAAGCGGCCCTTCCTTAGGAGAAGGCGCCCTTTACAGACGTTGGAGTCTCAGTTCGCACACCGGAATTTCTGTCTTTTCTCCCTCCCCGTGGGTCTGAGCCCCGGGTCTTCTCGGTGCCCAGCACCGCCGCAAGAAGGACTTCCAAGAGTGGGGAGCCCACGCAGCCCCGCTCCAGCCCGCTCACATCCTCGCCGAGTCCAGCCTCAATCCGCCCGCTTCCAGACGGGGCGTCCCTTCGGACCCCGAACACGCGCGCGCGTCTTACCTTTCGCGGAGCAGGCCGACCCCAGCAGCGGCGGCAGCAGCAGCAGCAGCCGGAGCCGCAGCGCCCGCCGCGCTGCTTCCATAGCTAGGCAGGCTGGGCGAGAGTGCGTCCGCTCGGGGCAGCCGGGCAGCCTCACCCCGCTTCCCCCAGATCACCCCAACTCCGCCGTCTCCTTCGACGCCGCGGGGCAAACAATCGCCGGGGCCGCCGCCGCCGCGAAGCTGCCCTCCCGCCGGATCACTGGACCAAAACAAAAGTTTTCCTCGGTAAAGTTGAGAAGAGGCGGGACGAGGGAGGGAAGGCGCCTCCCCCGGCTTTGCCGATGTGGGGGAGGGCAGGCGGGGTGGGGGGGTACCTGGAGGCGGCGGCGAGGGGGACGTGCTTTGGTATGCTTCGGAGTGAAAAGAGTTAGGGGGCGACGGAGAGGAGCTGGGATCCAGCCGCGGGAACCTGATCGTGCGTTAGAGGAAACATAGAGGAGTTTTTAGGCGCGCTGCCATCCTCAAGGGTGGCAGATCCGTGGAGACACCAGCTTCATGCGCGCGCGCACACCTCTGACTAGCCCCAAGGCCAAAGGCCGCGAAATCCGGAGAGTGCCATTCCTAAGCAGAGCTTTTCAACTCTGTCCAAGCTGGGAATGGGTCGCCAGGTTTTCTCCCATACGCGCTGCAGCTCTGCAGACTTTCCGGCGACTAGCTGTGTCAGACAACTGCAGCAGAAACAACCCAAAGTCTTGTGGCGCCTGAAAAACAAGGGCCTAAGTTTTCGAAGTCTTTGGTATTTAAGCTGCCCAAAGACTCTTAGTTGCATGGAAACGCACTCCTTGCATTTCACGGCCTTTGGACCTCTGTATTTACGCCTTTTATATCTCTGTGAGTGTCTGAACTGAGGTATTTTAACATCAGGTGAAAGCTAACCCCCCCCCCCCCAATTCCCTGGACAAAGCTATTCCTCCTTACTCTTCAGAATCCTTGGCCCTTAAGGTGCTGCAAGGCTCATTTCAAGTTTTGGCTGAAGAAAGAGACTGACTCAATCCAGTGCAGTGTTCAAATTATAGGGTGGTGGCATGGGGGATGAACTTAGCACTGATTGGCAAGAGTGCTCTGAAGTTTCAGTTTCCTAGCCACACCTGCACATGCCACAGACTGCACCTGCGATCTTTGACATGAAAAGCCAGCTATTGGCAGGCTACCATAGAGCCTGGATACCATAGCAAGGATCAAAGAGTTGAAGCCCTGTTAATCCCCATGCTTGAGTACCAGACTAGATAGAAATACCATATCTTTACTTTTGAGTAAGGGAAAAGAATGTTAAGGCATAAGGTGGTGCATCATCTGAGCCTTAGCCCAAAATTCTTAGGAATCTGATGTTATGTGAAATTTAGATGGGGGAGACATTTGCTACACTTTTGGTAGTTTTGCAATGGTGTTATAAACCTGGGCTGCTATAAAAATGTCCATTACACTTGAACTGGTGATATCAGTACTCCATTGATCATTACAAACAGAAAAGCATCTGATGACACGGACTCCAGTTCACAAACGTTCATGCTAAAAATGCAGATGAACCCTTACAACTGGCAGAAAGTGGCAATGAATTGAAATAGCTCCTGATGAAAATGAAAGAAGACATGGCAAAAACAGGACTACTGCTGAATATTAAGAAAACAAAATCTTGACTACAGAAGAATTTCAGGACTTCGCTGTTAATAATGAAGAAATAAGAATGTGAAAGATTTTCCTTATCTCGATTCAGTCATCAATTCAAATGGATGGTGCAGCCATGAAATTCAAAGAAGACTGAGAATCAGAAGGGCAAAAATGAAGAAACTGAAAAAAATCAAAAGGAAGTTTCACTGGAGACCAAGGCCAAGATAATCTACACTTATTATATTCCCAGTTACTATGGATAGGTGTGAGAAATGGGGAGCGAAGAAAGCTGACAGGAAGAAAATTGATGCATTTCAAACAAGGTCCTGGAAGAGAGCTTTGCAAACACCCTGGACTGAAAGATGAGCAAGTGGGTTCTAGATGAAATCAGGACCAGAGCTTTCCATAAAAGCAAGATTGAGGCTTTCATGCTGGGGACACATCATGAGAAGGCAAAAACCACTGGAGAAGAGAATCATGTTGGGGACAGCCAAAGACAGAAGAAAAACGGAAGACCAAATTAGAGATGGATTGACTCCATAAAGGAAACCACAAACTTAGAAATGCTGAGCAGGGCTGTCCTGGGTGGGGCATTTTGGAGGGCTTTCTTTTATAGGGTCACCATACGTCAGAGACAATGTGACAGCATATAACAACAACAAAATAGATGTGTTGTTCTTCGTTGTTTTTGCTGTAACTGATTAAAGCTCAGCTTACTCTCTAGGAATATATAACCAAGTCTGTAATGTGTTCCAGACACAAAAAGTCTGTTAAAAATAAATACATAAATAAAAACAAAAGGGGAGGAGGATCTAGCAAATTGTTCCCAGATGCCTTGAGCTCTTGAAAATATTCCGTATACAATTTAAACCGCATGGCTGGCAGTGTATTGAATTTCTGCTGCACTCTTTTATCCTCTGTAAATTTCTAACATCTTGAAGTAATCAGCAGTTAAGAAAAGGCACGTGCCACTACAACCAAGGAACGAGCTAGATGTGACGGCAGCAGAACTGGATTGTGGCCAGTTTCCTCTGAAGCAAGAGGGATGTAAATTGAAAATATAGAATGGGTAGGTGAAGGGGAGTGGGTGCTGCATCCTTCCCCTGATCATGTTTGTCCCCTCCTTTGAAATGGCTTCTCCCAGCTGTTTTTCTCTTTGTGGGGCTAGCCTACATCATAAGAGCAACATTAAAGAAAAGTAATTTCTGGTGCAAAGGAACATCTGGAAAAGGTTCTAGCAGCCCCTTCAGCACAGCATCCCCCTCCACGTTACTGAGGAAGAGGTGGAGACTGAATTCAGAGGCAGGGGTCATGCTGCCAAAACATCAGATCTAGAGCTCAGAGAAGAAACCAAAAATACAAAATAGCTGCTGTAAGAAAGAAAGCTAGAAACTATTTTTTTTTCTTGCCAATCTTGATTCCTGTTTTGCTGTGCTCCCATGATGCACAATTCTTCTTAAAGTTCTACAGATGTGAGCTCAGGGAAGGAGGCTTGGAATTAAATTATTATTATTTCTCATTTATTATTTTTAATTTATTATTTCTTCTTGATCTTCATCTTTTAGCATCTTTCCACAGTTGGCTATGTTGGCTAGGACTGAATGGAATTGTAGAGCAAACTAAGGCCAAAAGATGCCCAGTACAATGTACCTTTTCTACACTGGCTTGTATGTCAAAGCAGAATTTATCTCAACTTGATATTTTTTTTCACTGCTAGAGTCCAATTATGGATTTTATAAAGTAAGACTGGAAGAAAATACCCTGAGCAGGTGAAGAGGGCAGTTCATAAAAATCTAAGAACCTGCCTCAAACCAGGACAGGCTATCTGTCCATTATGCTCAGTATTGCCTATGCTGACTGACAGCAGCTGTCCAGGATTTTAGACACATTTTCTTATCATGTGTTTAGCTGTATACCCTCTGAGTATCTACAGAATGTTCCTTTCTGCACATCAGAAGAGCGTTTGGAACAGAAAGTGGAATTTCTAGGCAGACGTGAGCCCCCTTTCGACTGTGATTAGCCCTTTCAAAGAGAGCCCAACAATCCTATTTTAAAAGGAAGCCTGAGTTTTGACATATTTAGCTAGCTCTCAGAACCCTGTGCTTATATAAAAGAAGATGGCTCACATTTCCCCATTTTCCCAAGTACCACCCCTTTTAATGAGCCAAGACCACTCATAGCTTTACTTTCACATGACAGTTCTTCTTTTGGAGTGCAGTGACAACCCACCAATATAGCCCTTGGAGGGACTGTTATTGGCTGTCAATTTGGAAAGCACTCTTTGTGACCTATTCAGAGAAAGCGGAGGGTGGGAGAGGGGAAAAAGCTGTGGTGCGCCAAAGAAAGGGGCAATATCACAGTGGGGGAATATCAGACAAATTGGTCCTACCATGGAGCTGTCTGGGATATCCATGGCGGAATTAAGGGAAAAGAAGGGGGCAACCCACATTGAGTCCAATCAGCTGCCAGGCACATTATTTATTTATTTATTTATTCAAAATATTTATATGCCATCCTAATTCGCAAAAAGTCTCAGGACGGCTTACAACATAAAATAAGATATAAATAAAATCCCCAGCCCACACTGGCTGCAATTAAAAACACAGATAAAACAATGTTAAAACTTATTAAAATATCGCTGGAATAAAAAGGTCTTAACCTGGTGCCGAAAAACAAATAATGACGGCACCAGGCGGACCTCTCTGGGGAGCGCATTCCATAGATGGGGCACCACTGCAGAGAAGGCCCTCCTCCGGGTACTGTGCCTCCTAATATCTTTCACGGAGGGTTCCTGGAGGAGAGCCTCTGCTGCCGATCTCAAGGGGCAGGAGGGCAAATATGGAAGAAGGCGTTCCTTCAGGTGTCCAGGTCCCTAGCCATTAAGGGCTTTATAACCAGTACCTTGAATTGAGCCCGGACTTTGATGGGAAGCCAGTGAAGCTGGTAGAGGACTAGGGTTATGTGAGAATAACACCCAGTCCCTGTCAGCAACCTGGCTGCTGTATTTTGCACCATCTGAAGTATCCGGACTGTCTTCAGGGGCAGCCCCACGTAGAGCACACTACAGAAATCCAACCGGGAAGTGACCAGTGCATGTGTCACTGCTAGGCAGTCTTCCTCCAGGTAGGGGCACAGCTGATAAATTAGCCGAAGCTGAAGGAAAGCGCTTCTCGCCACCGCCGTCACTTGAGCTTCCAAGGACAGCTCCAGGTCGAGGAGCACTCCCAAGCTGCAGACCCTGTCCTTTAGAGGGAGTGCAACCCCATCCAAGGCAAGGCCCAGGCTACCTACCCAGGAGCTCGATCCACCCACCATCAGGACTTCCGTCTTGTCTGGATTAAGTTTCAGTTTATTGGCTCTCATCCAGCCCATTACCTCGGCCAGGCACCAGTTCAGTTCAGCCACTGCCTCACCTAGATTGGTTGAAAAAGAGAGGTAGAGCTGGGTGTCATCAGCGTACTGATGATTCCGCAGCCCAAACCTCCTGATGAGGAAACAACCAACCCACTGTGGTTTACTGCTAAGGTGGGTTTGCATGATGTGTGAACTCTATCAGTGCTCATCTTTTTTGATGTACAGAGACTGCC